CCACTTCACTGCCAGTCCAGAGCTGAGGAAAGGTTTTTTCCTCACACTGGGCTGCTGGGACAGTGCAGGGAAAAAGGTGTCCTCTGTCTGTGGTGTGTGGTGTAACCCTCTCCCAGGCTCTTCCAGGACACTGGAGATCACTTTCCCTGCCACTGAGATGAAGCTCCTCCAGCTCCTCCCAGTGTCACACTGTCCTTGGGGCCCCACCACCTTCCAGTGATGGTGGCTGTGCCATACCCACCACCAGCAGGACAAGTGGAAAACGACCCCCTGAGCAGGCAGGAAAGGGCAGGGAGCCCCAGGAACAGAGTCCAGCCTGCAAAATTCCCAAGCAGCAAAGCAGGAGGATGGTGGGAGGCTGTGGAGGGTAGGAATGCTCTCCTCAGTCTTATGGTTCGCTGGCCAACCTTGAGCAAGGCAATTCCCACTCCATCCCCTCACCTCCCCCCTGGCTCTCTCCAGCTCTCCAGTGAGCTCACACAAGGCAGCTCCTACCTTGTGAAGGACATGGCTGCTCTTATTACAAGGCAGGGTGCTTTTATGTTATAAATTAAAAGGTCCAGACAAATGAACCCTGAGAGCTGAGTCCTCAGGAATCACAGTGACTCAAACACAAGCTTTTTATAAGAAAATAAATTAAATGGCCTTGCTGCTTTACTCATCAGGCTGTTCTACCTTTAACAGCATCCCAGCAAACACTTGTGTCTTCATTTAATGCTCTTCAGCTCTTTCTTTCATAAAAGAAATTCAGTAAAAAGCCTGGCTGATAACTTCAGCGAATTTCCATTTGACCCTCCCCTTGGGTTTTGGGTTGAGTGTTGAGTGAATGAGCTTTAAAAGCATCTTTTCATTTAGTCTTCCACAGCAGAGAACCACCGAGCCAAGAATCATACCTCACTTTGTCAGAAGAAAAACAAGATGTGGGCTTAGTGGAATTGAGTTGCGTTGGAGCACGGTATGGAAAATCTTGCCTGCGAAGCCAAACAAGATTTTCACTGCCAGCGTTGTAAGGGAGAGAGATGCAAAATTTTTGTGGCCAGTATTTCTCGCCTGTGCCTTGGGATCTGGGGCTCTCTGGAAATGAAAGATCCTCGTTTTAGGCAATGCTTTGCTTGAGCGGTTTGTTAACCCCTTGTCAGACTGCAAGGGAAGAGCAGAGCTGGTGCTCTGAGGGGGATATGAGTTAAAATGCTTCAGATGCAGCGTTTGGGCTGTTGATCTGTGCAACTTGCCTCAGAGAGAAATTTCAGTCAGGACAGAAATTTCAGAGTCAGGGAAAGGAGGAGGGAAGGAGATAGGGGTGACTGAAGCATCTTTCAGAGTCAGAAAGCTGCTTAGAAGGACCCTATGTTGAGCACCATGGAGCACCAGAGAGAGGGAGGGCTTTGCTTCCTGATCTTTGAAGCCTTCCAGGATGATGTCGAAAAAGAGTAATAGACCAACAAACCCCATTTTCTAGTATAGATTGTTTCCTTCCAGTCCCGGGGCTGCTCCGAGCAGGGAAATGGGACCTGGACAGGGACGTGGGCATCCCAGGAAGGGAAGCGCGGGATCCCGGGCAGGGAAAGGGCATCCCGGGCAGGGCTCGCTCCGGTCGGGAGATGGCAGCAGCACTTTGCTCTTTGCTCGGACGGGCCACGCCGGCCCTCGGGGGCTCCCCAAGGCGCTGGCCCCGCTTGTCCCGGGGATCAGCCCCGCTCCGCGGAGCCGCTCGCCTCGGGGTCTGTCACCGCAGCCTCCTGCCCTGCTCATCCCCGCTCACCCACGCTCTCTCCCAGCGGACGAACCGCCCAGGGCTTTCCAGAACGAAGTCCCACCTGGAAAAGGCTGGAATGCAACTCCCACCCCGCCCTGGGGAGCCAAGGGATGGAGAGGAAAGCACAGGGCCAAAGGGGAGGATCAGCTGGATCTCACGGTGTGTCCCCACTGCTCGAACTCCCAAATTCTATTTGAAACAGAGTGTGACCCTGACATCCAGGTCCTCCGAGCTCTCCCAGTGCTCCCATCTGCTCCCGTTTCCACCCACACAGGGGCGAGGTGGCGAGGGACGTGCCTGGGGGTGGGTGTCGCTGCGGCTTGGTGATGCCATGGGGACACCCATGGAAATGTCACTTGGAAAACGTGCCTGAGAAGGCCAAGGTGCCCTTTGCGGCCCCAGCGCGGGCGGGGGCTGCCCCGAGGGGGCACGGTGGGACCCCGACCCCGGCCCCGGGGCCAGCTGGGGTGAAAAGGCCACTTGAGAGAGGTCAGGAGGAGAAAACTAACCTGCTTTTCTTTGGCAATTATGAAGTGACAAATTACCAGTGAAAGAGCTCATCTGTCTGTATTTATTTGTAGAGTCCCTCCTCGCCGCAAAAGCGAGGCACGGGGAGCGCCGGGATCACGGCCCTTCTCTTAAGGGTTTCAAAACACTCCGCTGACGCCTCACTCCATCTCTGTCAGCACGGGGGACGCACAGAAATTAAGTGGCCAGACCGGTGCCACCAAGCAAGATGTATTTCCAAGAGCGAGCCCCCCGAGCATGCCCTGCACCCCCCGACACAGCATCTTCCACTCTCTGTCCACTCAAGCCCCCAGAGGACCAGGAATAGCATTTTGAAGGGGAAGCTGGAGTCTCCTCCTGATCCCACATCTCCAAGAGCTCAGGGTTTAAGGAAATCTGGTGTTAGGAGGCTCCTGATAAACCAGAGGGCTCCGGGTCCCTTTGTGTGTGCTGTCCCTGAGCTCCTTGTCTCCGTGCTGCTCACAGGGCAAGGGTGAATCCTGCGCACACCCAGCCCGGAGACACAACAAAAGCCCAAAGCCATTGCATGTGTGAGATGCTTTAATTGCATTACAATCATCTTCTCTTATCAAGGAATCAGGAGGAGAGTCAAAACAGGCACTTTGATCCCCGCAGAAGCTGGAAAAACAGCAACGACTTGGCCAAGGTGCAAACCTCCTCCTCCCTCGCCGGCAGCAGAGGAGTGGGAGCAGAGCCCTTCCCCAGGTTTGGGGCGCTGGGAATGCCCCCCGCCTTTTTTTTTTGGGGGGGGGGTGAAGGGGGGAGCAGCAGAAAATACAGCAGGAAACACAGCAGCAACCAAACACAAGGAAAAAAAAAAAACACCAAACAGTGGTCAGCTTGGCTTTGCTTTCCTTTCTGTTATTAGCATCGTTAAATATAGAAGCAAACCCGATTTTCAAAGCAAAGTGTGGTTTTGGAGCGCCGCGGGCAGCCCGGGGTCACTGCAGCCCGCGGCGCATCCCGGCGAGCGCTGCCCCCCAGACCCCAGCGCGCTCCACCCGGGGGATGGGGGGGACAAAAAACCCTCAGGAAGGGAGGTAAATATTTACTCTCCAAACACAAACCGGCTGCCCGGAGGTTAACGAGACACATAACCACCCTCTGCAGCGGGAGCCGGCAGATGGGAGCGTGGCCGGGCGGGCTCTCCCGCGTCCCTGGAGGTTCCCAAAATATGGGGCAGGGAGTGGGAATGGGCAGCTCTGGGGAGCAGCAGATCTCTGCCAAGGAGGATAACCCGCCATGCCCCTTCCCTTGCCCTCCAAAAGCCGCCTCCCAGCGCTTCCTAAATGAAAAAATATCGCGGCCAAGCTGCAAACGCAGGGATCGTCACTAACCAAATTGAGACTCTGATTTGCCGTCTCCATCTGACCGGCTCTGCAGCCGTCGGGGGAGGATTTATCTGCGCTGTAAACCCAAGAGCAAGTTCAATCTTGTTTGTACCTGGCAACAAATCCAGGTTAAAGGAAGGCCAGCGCTAACGGCTCCTGCTCTCCCACCCACTGCTCCTGCTCCGTGGGGTAACTCCGGCAGGGATGGGGGCTGGAAAACACTCGTCCACACACACACTACATTCATCACCAGGCTGGAGGTGCTGCCCAATCTCCACGCTCCGGCTTCTGCCCAAAGCTGAGCAGCTCCCGAGCTGCCACAGCACAAGGATCACCCTGATGTGCCCAGGGTGGCCTTGGTCACCTCAGTGCCATCCATCCAGGCAGGGACAGGCTGGCACATCCCTCCGGGGGCCCGGCCTTGGGCATCCCAGCCTTGGGCATCCCAGTGGCCACAGTGGCCACTTGTCCCACTGGAAGGGGAGGAGAATGGGAACGTTGCAGGGGGCGATCGGGTCCCCAGCAGGTTCAGCTGGAGATGTCAAAGGGACAGGAAAATCACTCATGGTAAACACCTGAGGAAAAGGAAAGAAGTCTCCTTGGCTGAGGCTGGGGGTACTCCCTGTTCTGCCATGGGTGAACTTACTCCAGGCTGGATTCACTGGACTGGCAGTGAGAAGGGACAACCAGTGGGGACACCCCCCCACACACACCTGAATGAATAACTCAGCACACACCAGTGAAGAACAAAAGAGGTCTTGGACTGGGTTATATTTTAAAATGCTCATATATTTTCTCTTTTTTTTCCTCCTTTTTTTTATTTTTCTTTTTTTTTTTTTTTCCTCATTTTTCCCCCCCACAATTCTAATACAATTGTTCTGGCGTTTCCAGCAGCAATTCTTCTTTTTTTTTTTTCTTTTTTTACCCTTTTGTTTTTAAAGTGAATAATAATATACGGTAGTGATTTCACAGTAAAACAGACCTGCGGGAACGCCGGATATATGTGACAAAAGACACCCCCAGACCAGCCCACCCCACCCTGTCCCCCTTCCTCCCCCCCCTCCCGCCCCCGAAAAAGATTTTGGAAGTGGGGGAAAAAAAAAAAATAAAAAGTTCATTCAAAAAAATTATTTCAAAAGAGATTTCATATAAAGCCTTTAAAACACGGTCAGAAGTTTCTCCCTCTTCTCCAGATCCCTGTGGCTGAACATTACAGAGAGAAAGAGAGAAAGTGAGAAAAAATAGAGAGAGTTTATAACAATCTCTGTAGAAGAAACAAAACAATCCAGAAAGAAAATATCCAAGAATACGGTAAGGGATAAAATTACATTTGTACAAAAATAGATTTTAACTTTATTGATGCTTTAGATATTTTTTTCCTTATCTTTTTTTTTTTTTTTTGCCATTCTAAATTTTAATGTTATTTTTTTTTTTATCTATGCATCCTATAGCCAAGGCATCCATCACTAAGTATTGGGAATTGCTAAAGCTATTTTTTTACTCAAACCCACCTGCTTAAAAGAAAGAAAAAAAAAAAAAAAAAAAAACCAAAATAAAACAAAACAACCAAAACAAAAAGGCATCTTAAAATAGATGCAGTTCCTTTGTCTTGAGGAATAAAGATCCAGATTTGGCATCTGCCAATTTGGAAAGGGATTCGGATACAGTGGGAGCAAAGAAAAAAAAAAAAAGGACAAAAAAAATAGGAAAAAGAATGGACTTAAAACACAAAAAACCACGAAAAGTCTGTAATTGCTACAGTTATAATATCTGTATATGTGAGTGAGGGTATTTATACAGTGTATATATCTACAGTACATACATGTATACACACGCACATATAGCAACTTAAACCAGCTCCTGCACACTCCTCACTGATGGGGACAGCATCAGCTCTTGAGCCACATTCCTGCCAGCTCCAGCCTTTTTTGGGGGATCAGGAGCTGAGCCCAGGGCTCTCCTTCCCAGGGTGGAGAGGTCAGGGGGTCGGTGTGGGCATCCTACACCTGCGGGTGCTGCAGAGATGAAGGTCCTTCACCCCTTCCTCCACTCCTGGCGGCCCCCTGGCCACAGTGCTCAGCATTCCAGCGCTGAGGAAACCTCAGCATCCTCGTGGAGGGGCCTGGGATGTGCTGAATTCAGATTGGTTTGGGTTAGGGCTTGGTTGGAACATGCACAGGCAGCGAGGGACATCCAGGGTGGCAGCGGGTGGCTGAAAAGCTGATGTTTGTGCTATCTTTAGAAAATTAAAGATTGTCCCACCAACAAAAAGGAATTTAAACAAAACAAACCAAAAAATTAGAAAGAGATCACCCTAATCAAACCAGATTTTTGCAAGAGTACTAAGATCTGGTTAATCAAAGTCCTACCTCTCTAGTGGATAATGTGCCTTTTTTTTCCTCTAGCCATGCCCCACCTCTCCAAGCACGTCCATACTCAGCGTTATGATGATGAGGACAACAACAACAACAAAAAGCCAAAAAGTGAAAAGAATACAAATGAAAGACTCAAAACTCATGCAAAGCACGTTGCTTTAAGGCTGCTGTGGTGGATGTTATGGATGCACAAAAGCTTTTCCTTCCCTTGGGAAGGGTTGGGCTGGGAATGGAGGGGGTGGGGTGGCGTCTGGGGGTTCATCACCTGCATTCTGGGAACCCCAACTCCCCTTCACCTGCTGAAAACTGAAATCCCCAACCCCCTCCACCACGGGCATGGATTGAGGCTGTGAGCTGCTCCAGCAGGGAAACTGAGGCACAGGGATGCACATCCTGATGGGAAGTCTGGAACTCATGGAGCCTCCCCCTTGGCATCACCCTGCCTGTGGGGGACATCCCCTGCTCATGGCATTTCATCAGGTCAAATGATAATGGGAATGGGATGGGATGGGATGGAACAGGATGGATTAAATGGCATGAGATAGGATGGGATTGTATGGGGAGAGATGGGATGGAACAGGATGGGATGAGATGGGATGGGGTGGGATGGAATGCCAAGATGGGATGGGACGTGATAAATTTGACAGAATGGAATGGGATGGGATGGGATGAAATGGGATGAAACAGGATGCAGGAAGGGATGAGATAGGATAGGATGGGATGGGAAGGGACAGGATGGAATGGAATGGGATGAGATGGGATGGGACAGGAGCTCCCACTGTGCAGCCCAGCACCTTGCAGCCACCACAGCTCAGCACCCAGCACCAAATAGCCCCTTCCAAGCCATTCATCAGGAAAAGAAAGTGGTTCCACCCAACAGAGAAGGACAGCGGGTTTATTCTAGTGCAATATCCATCAACTTTCCCAAAGCATCCTCATCCTCTCTGGCGAGCAGGTTCCAGGCTCCTTTCTGCTGGAAGAGCCGGGCTGGGGGCAGCCCAGGGGCTGGGTGGGCTCGGGGCTGAGCTCCTGCCGGGAGCCAACACCTCCCTGCACCCCCCCAAGGGCTGCGCCAGCCTCACGCTGGCAGGGAACAGCCTGCTCGTGTTTCCTGGCACCCTTTCCAGATTTCATCTCTCTTGCCTAGCTTTCTTGGCAAATTCTTGCAGGGTGAAGCTGTTTAATAATATTTTCGGCGGCATGCAGGCTGCTGGGGAAACACAGCCAAAACACTTTCCCTGCCTCTGCGGATTTGCCACTTCGGGCCAGCCTAGGGGGGAAGTTCTGACCTGAAATCCTGAGTATTTTTTATAGCAGTGAGATGGCCTGGTGAGCTGCAGGGGATGGAGCTGGGGATTCCAGCTGCCAGGCAGGATGACAACAGGTGGGTGGCAACTGTGTCCCCTCAGAACCAGAGGTGTGAGGTGGTGGGTGCTGCTCCATCCCCATCCCGGGCACGAAAGAAGTGTTTTCAACCAGCCACAACCCATGGGGAGCAAGAAGAGGATTTTTGGGACCAAATACTTTGCTGTTTTAAAGCAGAGAGGACATGGAAGCGGTGGGGAAGCCCTTGGCCACAGGCCAACCACAGTCACCTCATTCTTGGCTTGCAGTGCTTGTCCCACGGCGTGTTTGGGACAGTCCATCGTGCCAAAGGGAAAATACCCTTCCCAACATCCCTCACCGCTTGCTCTGCTTTGTTTTTTCTCCAACTCCTGTTTTTGGTGGGGCACTGGAGACCCCTGGTGAGGGTGAAAGGATCCCTGGCTGACCTCTCGCCACACATTCCCTGGGGAATCCCATCTTGAGGGGTGCGAGCACGTTCCTGGAACCGTGTCCCTAATCCCCAAAAACTTGTCCATCTCCCTGCTGTCACACCAAGACTCAAGGAAAGGACTGTGCAAAAGCCAAGGTGCTCTTGGTGCTCTCAGTATCCCAGACAGGAGAGGGGTGGGTGCTGTCGTGTTCCCCACCCTGCTGGGACCTCTCAGCCCCCACATCTGTGCCTGACGGGAGATTCAGGGGAGGGGGAGCCCTGTTCTTGCTTCACCACTAATTAACAGCTGCAATTAACCAGCTTGGCCAAGCACTCCCACTAATTGTTGCCTTGCAGTGTTTTGCACGGCTGAAACAACAGGAGCAGCCTCCTGGGTGAGCCGAAACCCCCGAGTGGGGTCATGCTGGGATGCTGGGGCAGTGCCAGGATGTTGGGGCCATGCTGGGATTCTGGGGCCATGCCGGGATGCTGTGCTGAGGGCAGGGGTCCCAGCAGGCCCCCATGAGCTGGGGAAGGGCGACAGGGAGTCCCTGGCAGCCTTAAAGCAAGTGCTCCAGCCGGCTCTTTCCGCGTGGGCAGCTCCACACCCAGCGCAGAGGCATCTTTGGGAAGAGCAGCGATGCCCAGCCGCCCTTGGGGATGGCAGAGGGGGATTTCTGAGGTGCACGCTCTGCACAGAGGGTGACCCAGCTCCCTGTGCCACCGGTTCTCATGTTGTGTAGGGGGGATTCAGCTCAGTCCCAAATCCTCTGCTTTGAACTGGAAGGAGAAGGCTCTGTGCAGCCACGGGTGACTCATTCACGGGGCACGGCCAGGCCGCCTCTCCCTCCGCAAAGTAACTACCGAGACTACTAATAATAGTTAGAAACCAAAAATAGAATTTTTTTTTTTGGGGTGGTTTTTTTTTTTTTTTTTTTTTTTTTTTCCTCTTCTCTTTTTCAAAAAAACTCCATCCTCTGAAAATAGCCAGCTGCAATCCGGCGAGTTCAGCCACTCCCTTCAGCTTGTCCAAACCCCACTGCCCCCAAAGGGCTGGGACTGTCCCCGTGTCCCTGCTCCTGCCCCGGGGGCACCCACGGAGGGGAGGGTGGGCGACGCCAAGCCCGGCTGGTGGCTCATCCCAAAACTCGTGGCACGGCGGGGGGCCGGGCAGGGGGTGGGTGGCAAACTCTCTCCGCTCCCACTTCTCTACATCAAGCGCAGGGGACCAGCGAGCAGGTCTGGAGATGCAGCAGTGACAGCAAACGGACAGGGGTGAAGGCGACGAGGAGGCGAGGACGGCGGGGGGGTCCCCCCGGATCAGACGGTGCCTCCAGCGCTGGGGTGAGGAGGGAGGGACGGGCTGGGGCGGTGGTGGCGGCGGCGGAGGAGGAGGAGGAAAGCGGAGGAAGGGGCCCCGCGGGACCCCCCTGGCCGGGCGAGGGACTGACCCAGCAGCAGTTTCTCTAAGTCATTTGATGGGGCGCTTCCAGCATTTCCATCAAGAAGGTGTCGATGGGTGTGTCTCCTATTAGCTTGAAGAAGAAGAGGTGCTCCAGGCATTTCAGGCCGATGGACCGGAGGGCTGGGAGGCGGAGCAGGAGCTTCGCAAACCTGGGGGGGACAGGAGACACGTGCACGGTCAGACACCCCACCTCCAGCCCCGCTTCCGCCCGGCCCCCCAAAGCTCAGAAGGGTTGGGAGTCAGACCCGGCCTCCTGCTGCCAAAGACACGGGGCTACGCCCAGAGCTGCGCGGAGAAATCATTAATTATGTCCCCAGCCTTGATAGATCAGGCAGCCACGGTGGATATCCACAACAAACACGTGCTGACAGCTGAGCTGGGAGGGTAAAACAAGAAATGAAAGGTCAGCCCTGGACTGGGGTGCAACCACTGGCTTCGTGCATGTGCACCACCACCCAGTGAGCACCCTGAGATGCTCGTGGGGTCCCCACACAGCAGCCACAGGGAGGAGGCACCATGGGGCCAGCCTTGGCACAGGCAGAGGTGCAAACAGCTTCAGCAGCTGGATCTTTGGCCAGGGAAAAGGGCAAGCAGCCGGGAAGGGGATGGAGGAGATGGCGAGTGGCGTTAGCTGGCACTTGGCTTGGCACTTTCCTGCAGGCACTGGGAATCTCCCAGGCAGCTCCACCAGCCCTCAGTGGGGCTGCTGGTCATGCTCAGCTGCAGCTGAGCCCTGGGGCTGCTGGCAGTTGGGGTGGAGACAAGCCCGATGGATCCATAGCAGGGAAAAGCTGCTTTGTGCTGGGGTCTGAGGGTGGCAAGAGGCTACAGAGCCAGGAGAGAGCCACCAGCTCCTGAAGGGTGCTTTGGAGCACCCTGGGGTGGCTCCACCCTGCCTGCCCATACCCTGGGGTACAGGCAGCAACTGGATGTCATCTCCCAGTACCACCTCCTGCTACACAGCCCTTGAGTGAGTGATCCCCACACAACAAAAAAGCCCTTTAATGGCCAGGAGTGTAGCTATCTGCTTTTCCTGCTACAAAAATCAGGGCTTGAACATAAGCAAAGACCCAGAGAGAAGGGGACCCTCCAGAAAACACAGACACACACAGAGACATGCACAAACACACAGATATTATACATGCATGCACAATTCTCTCTCCCTACTTTCTTTTTCTTTTTTCTTTTTTTTTTTTTTTTTTTTTTTGCTGAGCTGGCGAGAACAGCGGGAGCAGAGCCAGGAAAAACAAATCAGTCCTACCATCCCATTCAGGAAGTTTCACTTTAAACCAAACCAGATGATGGCTCCAGCCCTCGGATATGTTTAACTGTGAGATAACCAGCCCGGAGCACAACTGTGCCAGGGCTGGGGGCTGGGAGGGGAGAAAACAGCCCTGATTCCCGACTCCCTGTGGCTGCTGGGTGTCACGTAGGCACCCTGTGGAGCAGCAGGGGCTGCAGGGGGTGGAGCACGGATGGGTTTTTCCTAGGAATGCCTCTCTCTGCCCTGCTGCTGCAGAGGAGTTCCCTTTTGGTGTTTACGGGGTGCTCCCAAGCTCTTGCTGGATGGGGACTCAGATCAAGCCCTGCACTGGAAGGCACCTGAAGTGGTGGGAAGCCCAGCGATCCCACAGCGTGGAGCAGGGGAAGGCACCCGTCGTGGCTCGAGCAGGAGCTTGCTCAACCACAGGAAGAACTTGTTTCCAGCCTCAGATGGTGATCACATTGTGCCACGAGACCAGGAGGATGGAGAGAGTTCCTGAGAACTTCGCTGAGCTCTTGTGCAACTCCGGACTCCCAGCCCATGAGTTAACCCTCCCGAGCCACCTGGGATTATCCCACCATTGCCCTGCACCGTAGGAGACATGGGGTGAGGTCAGCAGTGCCCAGTCACGGCTCTCAGGACATCCCTCAGCATGGTGACCCTTTAAGGTCACCAAGGCAAAGTGTGGGGATCACACGAAGAGGTCCCCAGCCCAAGGTCAATCAAAGCCAGTGAGAGATTAAACTCCAGCGCCCCTGGTGCAGCTTCTGGCCCTAAAACACTCCCTTACACATCACTGAGCACGGAGGCAGAGCCCTGGGGAACTGGTTTGGACTGGTGGCTCAGTGACTGTGCTCAGTCATGCATGGCAGCTTGGTGGTGCTTGGGGTGATGAAGAGCAGGGCTGTTCCTGTGACAGTCCCCTGCCCACCCCCAGCCCAGCCCCAGTCCAGCAGCATGTGCAAGGGCAGCACAACCTGGCTGTGGATACCAGAGAACGATCCAGGAGAGCTGCTGGCCAGCTCTCCCTGTTCCAGGTGTGAGCACAGCTCTTCCGCAACACCACGACAGCCAAAGTGCAGGCTCTGGCTCTGGAGCTGCCTCAGAAATGCAATTTAATAACGCTTTTTGGAAGAGGAGTCGGCTTGAGAGTTGGCCTGGGGTCCACACAAACCACCTGGGGGAGGAGAGGTAACCACCCCTCCTCCGTGCACCGTGCTCATCCCTCACTTCCCCTCCTCCCCCATTGGCATGATCTGCCCTTTGCATTCACTGCTGTGAGAGCTTCCTTCTCTTTATCCAGACACACAAGACCAGGAATGCAGGTGAGATGCAAATCCCAGTTGCTTGGGCTGTTTTTCCCCAATATCCCCGCAACAGTAGCAGTTTCCAGTGCTTTGCTTGCTTTCTCAAAAAGCTGTCAGTAACTTAACTGGCAGTTGCCAGCTTCAAGCTGTAACTGGGAAAATGCGCCCACTCAGCTCCGGAGCGGTCCAGGAAAGCATTCCTAATTCCCCCTCCCATTCCCAGCTGGATTGGGGGAGGCGGGGAGGGGAGAAAAGAGCATCAATTGAGGCTTTCACTTCCCAGCAATGATGCTCATCTGCCACCGAAAATTAACTCCATGTGAGTCTTATTTTCGCTGTGGTTTGCTCTCCGTGGTTTCCAAAAGGGAAATGATACCCCCTTCCCACATGTGCTCATCCCACTGCTGCGGCCGCGGGAGCTGGGGCTCCTCAGGTCTGCCCACCTTGTCCTGGCTGGCATGGATTTACTGGCAGGGGAATAAAGACCTCTCTGCACTGCACAGGGGGATTTCCTGAGGGTGCTCACAGGTAGAAATGAGGGGTTTATCTGCCAGGGAATGTTCATTCCCAGCAGAACTGGGAACAGAGAGCCCCAAACGGAAGGGACCCAGCAGCTGCGTGCTGGTGTGACCCCGAGGACATCCCTCAGACCTGCCCCAGGATGCAGTACCCTTTGCAGGGGGTTTCCCTGGGGTGTGAGGCTGCAGGAGGACGGGGCACAGGGGACTCACCTCCCGGGCTGGTCGGGGTATTTGTGTTTGCAATAAGCCTCTAGCGACGCGTACACCTTCTCCCGCAACGCCTCCACTTCGGCCGGGTTCGACAGACCTTTCGAGTCTGAAAGGCAACAAAAAGACCATCAGCCAAAAAATTCTCCAGGTTTTCCAGGCAGGCAAGGGCCCCCCATGAGCTCCCCAGCTTCCTCCATCCCCCCCAGCACCACCAGACCAGACCAGTGTGGGTGCAGGGTCTGAGCCCTGGGTGTTTGGGGCAGTATCAAACAACTCCTGGGGGAGCATTCAAGCCCTCAAGGGTTTGCCCTGTGACTGCAGATATGGTTTATTCCACCTCATATCCCCACCCCAACCGTTTTGGCTGCTTTCAGTGGCCCCTCATTTTAAGGGTTTCAGCGCCCCTCAAGTCCTGAGCTTGTGGGATTTCTCCCTCCAGCACAAGCCCTGTGGTGGGGCTAAAGGAGAAGCCCCGGCTCTGGCAGGTCCCCTGTGACACAGCGAGGATCTGTTTTTAGTAGGGTGAAAGGGACAGTCAAGAAATCGATATCCCCAAGCACATGTGCCACGGGAACCTCTCCAGATTCCCCTTCTTTTACCATATACGGCTAATCCCAAATTACAGACAATAAATTACTGGTGATTACAAGGAGAGAGGGGGGAATAAAAAAAAAAAAAAAAAAAGTCAAGAAGAAAAACAAACCCAAGAAACAGCAATAAACCCTGCTGAAACGGCCTGGCTTGGGTTTGGTGGGAAAATCCAGGGAAGGAGTCGTGCTTGGGCACAAACTGTGCTCCTGAGAGGGCAGGGAAGGGAGGGGAGGGGTGGCTGTGGAGGTCTGTCCTAGGCTTCCATCTCATTTCTTCCTCTGGACTGACCTGCTCTAAAATATAGAGACACCCTCCAAGCAGAGCTGTGCAGGTATGTGCAGGCTGCCAGTTGGCTCCTGCTGCACAGGGATTTGCTCCCCAAAATGCTGGAGACAAGCCCTGGCACTGAACCTCCTCCTTCCCTTCGGGCAGCTGGGGCCAGGGGGGAAAAGCGAGCAGCATGAACCTTGCTGGAGTCTGTGGAACTAAGCAAACTGCTGACAAATGTTCAAGTTCTTGTGTATTTTATGAGCACGTTTCATGCCTTTCACCCTCCTCAGGTCTGCAAAGGGCTTTTCCAGAAACACGGGTCATAAAACCCCTCGGAGGATGAGATCAGGAAACAGAGACAATAATGTCCAGTGGTCTAGCACTGCTCTAATCTGTGCTTTTCTCTTAAAAGATGTCTAGATTCAATTTTGCTTCGATTCAGGGATAATTCCCTCATGCACTAGAACTTTCTTCTCACAGAGTCACTCTAAAAGGGGAGCAAGCTGAGAGGATGAGGGGGAGTGGCTGTAAACTGAAAGACAGTAGGCTTAGATTGGATACTAGGAAGAAATTCTTCCCTGGGAGGGCGGTGAGACATTGGAATAGGTTACCCAGAAAAGCTGTGGCTGCCCCTGGAAGTGTTCAAGGAGCAACCTGGGATAGTGGAAGGTATCCCTTCCCATGACAGGGGGTGTGAAAGGATGAACTTTAAAGTGCTGCCAACCCAAACCATTCTGTGATTCTGTGAAAGGGAGGAATGGAGAGCAGCACTGGTATGGATCCAGATCCACCCCTGACCTGCACAGGACATGCCTGTAAGTTGGCAGAGCACATGCAGCACTTAATTTGGCTTTCATCCTTGCCTCTCTTCCTTCTTGCCCCGTTCTTGGTAACAGGGTGCCCTCAGCTACTTGGAATGGAGATTTACAGGGAAGAAAAGGTGCCAAAAGGACAGAGCATCAGCCAAGAGGGGACAGGAGAGCAGACACAGTCATGTACCAGGGTTGAAGAGGACAATGGCTCGCAGGCAGCCCAGTTCTGTCTTGTCCATCAGCATGTCTCGCATTTTTGACACGAGTTCTGTCAATACTCTGCAAAGGACACAGAAATCACAGGCGTCAGCGTTAAAGAGAAATGAGAACACCCAGGTGGTCAGAGCCAGAGTGAGATCCTCCAGCCACAGTTAACAAAGCCAGGGGATGGTGCTCGCTTGTACCAGCTGAGGATGTGGCCTCATCTTCCTCCTCTATCAAAAATAGCTCATTAGGAACACCAATAGTTCCCATGAGATACAACAGGGGCCATAAAAACTGCCTTCATCCATTTACCGAGAGGCTTTGGCACCTGAGAAAGCTGCCTAAAAATAAAAAATAATAATAAAAACCCACCCCAACAGGTACCTAAAAGTAATTTCCTCTGCCGGTAATTTTTATTGCTCCCTTCGCTCCTAGCGCAGATGCCGGTCTTGAAATATTTTCCACTGATTGCCCAGTTTTTCATGTTAGATCCTGCAGGGAAGTCATGATCTTGCACTTGTGACCTCACAGGAACAAATGATGTCACCCAGGTCTGAAGAACAATTTCCTTGCAAGGCACAGCACCAAAGGTGATTTGATTTCAACTAAGTCGCCTCAAGATGTCAGGCAGAGAAATCGGCATTTCAGCGGCGTCTGGAGCCACACCGTGGGTCAAACACCCTGGAAGTCTGGCTTTAAAACACTTTCCCAAAGCATGAGACTAAAGAGCCCTCGGGACACGCATGTGGAACCTGCTGAGTATTTTTGGTGCCTTTCAATTGTGAAAATAAAACTGCGTCTTGGTCCAATTAAAGATGAAAAGAAACAAAGGAGTGGCCTCCTCGTAACATTAGAAGGCATCTGGACCCCATGAAAAGAGGCTTTGATTTGCACTGGGCAGCCTTCTCCCTGTTCTGGGCTGTTGGGTTTTGCAGGTTTAAGGGGAGGGTTTAATGCTGTTGCCTGCAGCTGGGACCACAACACTTCCATGCACGCCATGGGATGGACACCCTCACCCTGGGCTCCTCCGAGGTTGCAACGTGGGGAACAGAGGCAGTTTGGTGCAGAGACAGAGATGGGGATGTCCAGGCAAGGTGTTTTGAGATGCAATCCATCCATCCATCCATGCATCCATCCATTCATCCATCCATCCATCCTCCCTCCCTCTGCCCACCTGTCGAAGATGGCCCCGACGCCAGCGCTGTGTGCGCTGTTCCGGTGCACGTGGAGCCCGGTGGCTAAGAGGATCCCGTCTTTCACAGCTATGGAGCGGTGGGAGAAGGAGGCAATTAGGAGCTCATTCCACCCTGGGGAGGAGAGAACAACCAAGGCTGCAGGTTAGAGCCACCTCAGCGGGTTTGGGAACCAACATCACCTCCCCGGTGCTGAAAAGAGGAGGAACGTGCTAGAGGAACGGGGCTGGACGTGGGAAGGGAGAGGGGAGCCAGCCTTTTCTTGGATGTCAGGGAAGGAAAAAACCATTAAGAAACAAATGTACTAAAAATATAATGCTAATAAGGGAAGCAGTTTCCTCTATAAACCGAGCAGACACGGCAGCAAACGGCTCTGCCTGCTCCTCTCGCTGTGAACCTCAGCGTGGGTGTGGAGCCCTGTGCTCCCCTCTGCCCTCACCCGCTGCCTCCGAGCACTTCCACACCTATCAACGCTTTCTATCACTTAATTGGGCTCATTTTCAGGCCATAACAGGGCACGAAAGTTCATTCACCATCATTCACCTCCGTAATAAGGCACCAGGAAAACTCTGCCTTGTGGGTTTGCTGCTTCTGCCACGTAAATAGTGGGAGGGATTGCGTCTGCTCTCTGCACTGGGGTGTCCCACATCCATGACTGCTCCTCTAACTGCTTCCATAGCTGCTTGGAAATCAGCTTTTAGTCTTACTACCTACTGGATGTGTTACTTTGAGATATAGGAAACACATCCTCTGAGCCCAGACCTAGTTACAGGGACAGGAAGGGCGATGGGCCCTCCCCACCTTCCAGCTCCCCTTCCCAATCCAACACCTCTTTAAATTCCTAAATCCATGACAGGCTCAGCTCAAGAATGCCTGAAACAAAGCCACAACAAGAGGAAGCGCTGCAAAGTTTGAAGGGTGGAAATTTTGGTGACTTTGAACCAAGGAGCAGCATTTTTGGTAAGGGAAGACGGTTCTTCTGCAACACCCATCACGTGGCTGATTTACCCAGCCAGTGCACGTCCTGGAGTTCAGAGCACAGGGCTGCCTGGCAGGGTCCAGAAACATCAGGATATTTGGCTTTAGTGGTTTTTTTCTTCCCCAGTCTGGAAAAGCAACACAACAATCCTTCACCCCTCCTGCCACAGGAACACGTCGTGTCTCACTGACTGGAACAAACACAAGGTCCATGTGTGCTGTATTTACCTACTGTTGCAGCCATGGGTTGTGCCATTAGAAATGTTGACAAGGAATAAAGTTCACTCTTTCCTAAGTGGCCACAGGATGTTTCCACCCCAATCACGGGAACATTTATTTGGCTATTTACTGGGTGAGGCCTGGCACTTTCACAGGGATTGCAACACTGTGAAACCCAAGGAGAAAGGAGGAGAAGACGTGGGACTGCACCAGGAGCCTGCAGAAACTGTGTTCCCTGGATGAAGAGGAACTCCCAGAGCCAGACCCACGGGAAGGTGCCAGGGGTGCCTCCCACCAGCCATCACACACAGACCCACAGCAGCTCCACATGCGGCTCCAACCAACAAAAACCAGAGCTGGCTCACAACATCCATTCCAAGCTGGGCTTATTCCAGTGAAGGAGCACTGAATTAATCAACATCCTTCAGCTGAATTATTCCCATGTAGAGCTGGGATGTTCCAGATGAAATGGGGAAGCTGTTTTTACACAGTCCTTTCACCGGAACATCCCCAAAGAGCTCACAAAATAAGAGACAAGCAGGAAAAATTAGGTGTAACCACAGGCAGAAAATTTGAGTTAAGAGACCAAACAAGTCTAGTCCAAGATTTTTGCATTTGAGCCCAAGCCCTGGAGAAGCAGAGCAGATTTCTTCAATTTGTGTGACTCCTTTCTCACCAAACAAGGTGGCTGTGCAGCCTCCAGAGATGCTTTGGCTCCTCTGGGATAGGGAAGGCACCTTGGCAGCACAGTGACCATCGTGACAATCCATCTCACTGCCAAGCTTCCCCCCCAGCCCTATAAAACCAACTGCAGCTGCAGAGATGTAATGCTCAGCACCCTCTGCCAGGCTGAGAAAACATCAGGCTATTCCTGTCTCAGCCCTAGCAAGCTTGGAAACAAGAAAACACGGGGAAAACAGGCTTAAAAAGTCAGGTTTCCTTCCCCTCCAAAAAGCTCAGAGAGGGAATATTTTTAAATGATTCAGGATTTGAGGAAAGCTGCTGCCAGCCCATCCAAAGATGCGTGCTCCACTTATTTTGCCTCCCAGGATGCATGACTGAACCTGACTGACGCTCTTAGCCGAATTTTAATACCTTAATATTTCATGGGCAGCTGTTCTCAGCAGGCCGCTCTCCACACTCAATAATACATAGAGCCACTGGTTAAAAGACTTGGGGGAGGTTATCTGAGGCCCTGGCAGAGACACTTGGAGCAGGGAGCCCACTGGAGCTGCTGCAGGTGCTCAGAAACCTCATTCCCGTGGGGTTAGAGCCACTGTGAAGTTTGGGGTGTGACAGGGTCTGCAGCCCCTCTGCTCCTGCCCGTGGAGTGGCCCCTCAAGCACCAGCAGGAGGGGGAGAACATCAGATCAGGAACACTCAGCTTCTTCTAAAAAGAAAGGAAAACCTGGAACTGCTGTTGTGGGTTTTGGTCCCACTTCACAAAGGGAATCCGGTCTGAATCCAGCTCTTCCCTGAGATATTTGCAGGAAGCTCTCAAAGATTCCTGCAGAGATGCTTCCCTCCCTGCTCATCGACTCTCACGAGAGGCTCTAGAGACCCTCTTCAAAAACACACTTTTGTACATTCCATAGAGGGCCTGGAGCCAGCTCTGGCAATACTCACACCCACGGAAAAGCCAGGGGAGCACCTTCCCCAAGGGATTGCAGGAGTTATCCTGGGAGGGTGCAGGACCTGCCCAAGTCTACAGCAAGAATAACCCCCCCAAGAATTTCCATTCCCAGACCACTGCTGTAGCCACTAGATGAACTGTGACTATAAAAAAATCTCCTTTCAGTAAAGTAAATGGAAAACACACACCAGTAAACAGTGTGACTTAACCAGACACTCTTGAGGTCAGAGAGGTTGTGAGGGGAACAGAGTATCTGTGTGTAGGGCCAAGGTACTGGCTGACAGTCATTAAAAAATTGCAGAAAGTTTAAAGATTCGTGTACTTGGGCTACAGTCAGCCTTAATAAACAGAATGGCAGCTAGAGCTGGTGTGGTGGGAAGGGGAAAACACTGATCCCATCACTTTCCTACCCTTTCCCTACACCTTCTCCTGAAGGAATCTGGACAGACCTTGGACCAGAAGAGTTCTGACACTGATGTGAATACCTTGCACTTGGTTCTTACAACACTTTCTTGCCCAATTTCATGGGGATTTATTTGGGGGGAACACACTTTCTGTGGTAAAAAGTCAGAATGCTGCCACCAAGGTGGATCAGCAGCGTCTTCTCTACAGAGACCCAAAGGCCAGAAGGGTGCAGAGAGAGGAGCCACACTCTGCAGGGTATCCTTCTCTTGAATTCCCTACAAAAGTGAATTTTGGGGAAACAAGAGGAACTTTTAAAACTACCAGGCACTTCAAAGTCCCTGGCTTACAAAGAGCATCATGCCTAAAACACATCCTCCTTGAGCTCTGCTCTCAATTTCTTGCCCTCCACGATCTTTGTACAGCAGCAGGGGCTTGAATACACTCGATGGGGGAAGACCCTTTTTACAGCAAACTGCTTTCCACCTCCCAAATCCTGCTCCTGCAGCCCCCCTGCTGCACAAGGAAATTTAAAATAAACCCAGAGAATTTTATTTTCATCTTGGTGGGTGGGAGAAGGAGGGTGATAGATTTTTCTCCCCTTTCTGGTTTTAATTATGATCAAACATCTTAGTTTGGATGAAGTTTCACGGAGGCCCAAGCCCACTTGGTCTCTCAAGTCTCAGTCTGGGAGGAAGGCAGAGTGTAAGTCTCAGCACCCATCTCTGAGCCCCTCACGAAGCCAGGCCATTTTTCAGCTGATTGGCAGCTGGTGCAACATTCTGGATCCCATTCAGCAACACACAGTGTCCCCCTGGGGCTTTTTAAATCCTGTTTAGAAATTGAATGGTCAGAGGCTGCTACTCAGGATCAGTTCAAGGCTTTCAAGCTGCCAGCACCCAAATCTAAGGGTAACACCTGTCTCAGTGAGATGCAGCACTCCCATCCCACTCACCTGCTCGGAGTAAGATGACCTGGTCATCCAGGGGCAGCTCAGAGAAGTGAGGGATCCTCTTGGCCCACTCCACCAGGGTGAAGAGCTGTTTGTCTGCTGCCTGGCATATGTTCGTCACTGGGTCATTGGGCTGCCAAGAAAAAGAGATGGAAAGGCTTGGAGAAGGCAGAGCAAGGGGAGGAGAGGCTGGAGCAGCAGCTGAAGGGGCTTTCTGCCTCCCTGCCACCCCTGAGGTGGATGTTATCAGTCACAGGGAGAGGAGGTTGATTTGGCTTCTCCACCACATGGGTTTTAATAGTTTTTAGCGAGCTCCAAGACGGGAACTGGGAGTGCTGAGAACCAATATCCATCACGCTGACTGATGAATCAAAGGACCTCCAGCCCAGGGAAGGGCAGGCTCCCCATGCCAGCATCTCCCAGCTCGATAAACCAGCACCAGAGGGGGCATTACAGAAAAAAAAGAGAAAACCCCTTTCCTTTGAAATATTATCCAGTAACAAAAACCATCTGCTCTCAAGGAGGACAGTCAGCCTAAACACACCAAATCCCTGTTTAAAGGAACTGCTAACAGCTCAAGTGGGCTTGTGATTAGGAACTGGAAGAGCCTGTCTAACCCTGACTGAGGCAGAGCTCACTGGTACAAGTGTGTGTGTAGGGTTTACCTCTCTGGACAGGGATGTATGAGCCCTTCCACATCTCCCACCATAATCCCTGCTGATATCCAGCAGCCTGGACTGTACAGTTATTTTTCTTCCAAGTCCTTAAAAGAACAGTTTCCAAAGCAGAAGGAGCAGTGTTTACTTCACCCCTGCATTGCAGGGGGAAGGGGTGTGAATTCAGAGGCAGAGCAGACACGAACACCAGTGTAACCTCTCCCCCTCCAAGGCCATTCCTCACCACTTTGTGCTACAGCAAACCCCTCTCTGAGCTTGGACAAACAAGGGTCACGCTGCTCGGTCACCCTCCTGCCCCCCCAGAGCCGTGGCCCAGACCCTGCCCAGCCCTCTCTGCGGTCCCCTGGCAGCAAACCCAAACTCTGTGCCTCGTGGCCACCACCTCCCATTCTCCAGGCTTAAAATAACCAGGCTCTGGCAAGCTCAGGGCACTCGCCTTCGAAGTATTTTCACCTGTTGCGTGCAGAGATGGATGGGCAGGGGCTGGCACCGCTATGGGGACAGGCCCCCCTGCTCTGCCCCTCTCCAGCAGCTCCCTGAGGGGGGCAAGGGCAGGGGGGTCTCACCCCCAGGGAGCTGAGGCTCTCCCCTGGGGAGGGAGATGTGAGCAGGGATCGGGCTTTTACCTGGCAGAGGGAGAAAAGATGGGATTTCCTCTGGACAACAGGAAAGCACTGAACTGGGTGTGAGGAGGAGCTCTGCAGGGTTGCTTCACTGGAAACACAGGGAATGTTGGCATTTAGAGGTGTTTTCAGGAAGGGTGAGAAGGAACAACTGTGGTGCAGCCTACAGGAATGTCTCCAACCTCAAGCCATCTCAGTTTGGTCAGCTGGAGCAGCCAGGAGGTGAAACCTGGCATCCTGGCTCCGGTGGGATGGGATGGGGATGGAGCCCTGTGTGCCCCAGAGGGGACATGACTTATGGGGTGCTCCCATCTGTCCACGCTCCAGCACAACCTGACCCAGCAAGTGCCTGCACAGCCCCTACAAAAGGGGTATTTTAGGCAAGTAAGATGTTTTTGCCAAAGCTTTTACCAGGGGTGTCTTCTGGGCAGGTTGTCACCGTCTCTGGGACTCACAAGCTGGGCTGCAGGTGCCCCAGCCCAGGCTGGCACTGGGGCTCTGTGGGCAGCACAAGCTGTACCCAACCTCTGGTGCTCTATCCAAAGCCTCAGCGAGGGGCCCAGCCTTTAATTACACCTCAGGTGGCAATTCCTGGAACCACCACGGTGCTTCCTGGCAGAACTTAATCACCATGGAGTGAGAGGCAGCTAAAAGTATCCTCCCTGCAGATCCAGAGGGCCCTGCCTGGGCACAGAGGGGCTGGAAACCCTCCCTCTGCATGGAAAGCAAATCCCCTCCTGCAGTAAATAGCAAGGGCAGGGTGCTGGAGTGTGACAGAACGAAAGGGCACCTGATCCTCTTGGAAAACTGGAGCTTGGAGGCATCTTCCAGAAACTGGTGACTTGAAACCAGACATCAAAGGCCAATTAAGAGCTAATGGGGATAACACCTCTCAGTTACAGGCTTTGCCTTTCAGCAGCCAGGAGCCCATCCAAGGTGGTGCTTACACCACAGGAGCACAGATTCCCAGAAGCCAGGGACATGGGACAAAGGAAAACCCATCCTCACTGTCCAGGGGCTCCGAGAGCAGCCAGGGAACCATGGCACAAGGTGACAGTCACAGGCATGAGAAGATGTAGTGACAGGACAAGGGGGAATGGATTCAAAACTGGAAGAGAGTAGGTTTAGATGAGATATTAGGAAAAAATTCTTCCCTGGGAGGGTGGTGAGGCCCTGGCACAGGTTGCCCAGTGAAGAGGATGACTTGGCAATGTCCAAGGCCAGGTTGGACAGGGCTTGGAGCAACCTGGGATAGTGGAAGGAGTCCCTGCCCATGGCAGGGTTGACCTTGATCTTTCGAACCCGAACTACTCTATGATTCTGCGTGGGAGACGAGGGTGTTAACTCCTACATCACCCTGCCACCTCCATCCCAGCCTGGCACAGCCAGGTGCAAGTGTCCTTGCAGGTCACCAGAAGCATTCAGTGCAGACGGACTAAGGGGCAGAGTCACAAATCAAAGGACCCAACACACCAGGCTGACAGCAAACAGCTCGTGTTCTACCCCGTGTCTGTCAGGGACTCCATTTGTCTGCCTTTCCATCACCTGGGCTCCCAGGGGAGGGCTGGGAGGACGGCACCTCCTCTGTCTTCCCACGCCTCATCCGGTGGCCTCGTCCCCGGGAGCTGCTGATCTCATACATCTGCTAAACCTGCTACAAATGTCACCTCATCGGCAGAAGCCGCCTGACAATAATAGGGCATTTCAACAAGCCTCCTGCTTCTATTTAGATGCAACACACATCTTTGTTCACAGTAATGCGTGTTGAATTATGCAGGAACCGGCTTTCAATTTGCTACAAGAGGCTGAGGAGACGCAGTGCCAGACGAAGCCATTTATTTCAGCTCGCTCTCTGGGGTTTGTTTTCAAGTCAGCACAACGCTGGCTCTGACTCCCCTGAAGTGTTCTTTAATCCTGAGAGCAGTCAGAGCCTCTCTGAGCCCCTCACTAACCACGGCTCAGCTGCCTCTTCCTCCAAAACAAAGAGAAGTCCCTTGCAGCTTCATGGTGATGGGACCCTCCTCTCAAACGCAGGTGAGCACCACACTCTGTACCTGATTCCAGAGAGTTTCACTGAGGAATTGGCTCTCTCCATATTAGGAAGCCTTGAAGGTCCAAATCAGCCCTATCCGTACCATACTCACTGAAAAGCCTCACCTAAGGGGATCCAGCCCTAAGGTGTCCTTGCAGGTAAAGGCCAAAAAGAGCATCCCACAGAGCCAGTGAAGACTTAGGAGCAGCCTGACTGTGAAATCTCTTGTCCAGCCCCACCAAGCAGAATCATAGAATGGTTTGGGTTGGAAGTGACCTTAAAGATCATCTCATTCCAACCCCCATGCCAACCCTCGTGTAAAGGAAGAGATGAAGTATTATTGTAGCTGAACATAAATAGTGCAGAGTCCTTCCACTTGCTAGAAATAGCTGCATTTCATCATCTCAACCTCACAGACACCCAGCAGAGAGCATTAAGAACTGCACCAGACCAGGCTGCTCCAAGCCCTGTCCCATTTCCCTGTCATCTCTCTCTTGCTTACACAAGGTCCTGTTCGAGCCCAGATGCTCCAAGCGGGCCCAGTTCTAATGCAAGCTTCTAAATGGGAAAGGAACTTGAAAGCAAATCTCTAGGCAAATTTCTGCAGCTTTTCTCTTCTCAGAGCCAAGCAGCTGTGTAATTCTGCCTCTGAAAAAGTCACACCCTCAGTTTACAGCTCTTATCTCCCTGCACTTCAGCCACGCAGGTCTGTTTATTGGCTCCATTGGACTCTGAGCTCTTCAGAGCATGGAGTGTCTTTCTGCCTTTTAGCACTGAGGGCTGTTAATTAAAATAAAATCTCCTCTGCGAGCCCTTCTAATTATGCCTCACAGTATCTGTGCCTTCCCTGTGGCTGTGGGATAGAACAGTACCAGTGCTGGTGGTGGCTGCTGGGTCTGCTTTCCAGGTGCTTCCATCTAAGCTCACACAGGGAGTCTGCAGCAGAGCCAAGAAGTTTGCACGTCTGAGCTCTTTCTTCTCCCACAGGACTACCCCCCTCTAGGCTCACTGCTGTGCTCCTGGCCAGCTCTGCTGATGCCCCACAGCCACCCCTTGTGTCCCCAGCGGGCAGGGGGAGGAGGTGCCTCACCGAGCTCGGCGTCAGGCCCATGTTTGCCTCGATGTACGTCTCTGTCTTTGGCTCCACAGCGAGTTCAGCTTCCAGGATCTTTTCCACAGGCATGTCCTCGTTGGCGCTACTTGTCGACTCCACCTCGTTCTCGTTGCGGTCCTTCCCCCGCTGCCTCTCCTCCTGGACAGCTGGAAGTGGACAGAGAAGGGACAGCGTCACTCTGGGGCTCCCAGCCAGGGTGTCACAGGCCGAGCTGGGATCTCCAGGCTCCATGGAGCTACAGGTGTTATTTAGCCATGAAATCCCAAAGCATCCTCAGGCCTGCAGGATCACACAAACATCTGAGGTCTTGCTCTCCCACCAGTGCGGTCAGTGGGTCTCAGGACTGGATTGTTCAAGAGGGGGTGAGGTTTGGGGAGGACACCAAGCAGCCCCAGCCTGGGAGAGCTGCTCCTTGTGTGCTCCCCTGGGAGTGTGGAAAGGGAGGATCCTGCTTGGACCTGGCCTCTGCTGGGAAATTCCCATTTCTGTAGAGGGGGAGGTCCTGGAAAAAAAAGGGTTAAAGACAAAAAAAGCAAAGAAAGCAACATGTGGACTCTCCACAGGAGTGGGAACGAGATAGTTGAGGTCACACAATAAGGGAATACTAAAGATCCAGAGTTCAACCATCTTCTGAGGCTGTTATTCCCATGGGAGGTCATGTCATGCACCTCTCTAGCTCCCAGTGATGCCAAAGGCGGAGCAGGGCTCCGTGGCAGGATGGTGCTCCCGTGGGACAGGAGCTCCATGCAAACCACCATCCTGCCTTTGGCTCGGGGCAACCTCTGAACAGACAGGAGAGACCTGTCCCAAATCCTGTGCGGCAGGAGGAACCTTGCCAGAAGCTTGTCACATGCTGATGAGTTATGTCTGAGCAGCACAGAGATGAAAAACACTTATTAGATGCTAATAACATTATTAGTAATGACCTCCCTTTGAAACCAGCATGCACTTTCCCTACACCTGGGAAGGAGCTTTATGCAGTTAACAGTGGGAACTATCTCCTCCTCCATCGTCATGTCATATACCCTAAATCCCACACTCTTCCACACACTGTTGTTTCTCACAGTTTGTTTTAGCTCAGTCTACTTGAGAACAGCCCCAGCAACAGGAGATCCATCACTGGCCGTGAGAGACAACTCCCTGAGCTTGCCCAGCTCTTTGCTGAGGACTGAATGACACACTCAGTAAAGTAAAAGCCCTGCTATTTATTGGCAATTATCCCAACACTTTCCCTCTCTGTTGAATTTGAAGCTGGTTATGTGATGTTTAGGGAAAGCAGCAGGGGCACAGCATTATTTGGGGGAAATCAGAGCTGTCTGTAACACAAGGAGGCTTTTTAGGCAATCACTGGGTCCAGCTCTATGCCAAGCGCAAGAATAAAACCTATAATATAAAACTCATTTCTTACAAACCAGGAAATTAAGACACATGCCAAACGAGTCCTATATGGACGTTGATCCCATTAACCCAGCTCCTGGGGCTGATTCCCACTGCTCTCCCTCCCCTCCCCTCCCGCAGTGTTGCTGTTTGCTGCACGTCAACAGCGCTCACGCTCCTTCCATGTGAAAGCTGTTATGCAAAAAAGCAAGGGGTTATTTTTTGCAAACTGCTCTGAAGTTTATGGGCTGCAGAGGCTCCCCAGGCCCACGTTACGTGCTCTGCTTGGGCTGCCAGAGCCAGGTAAGCTGCTGTTGTCAAGGGCTTAGATTTGTGTCGTGGCTTTTGTCCATCTGGCTCTTGTCTGGCACAGATTCTTCTTTTTCAGGCCCTGCTTAAATTTCACCCCCCACCCCTACTCCTGCTTCTTCAGTCGTCAAAGAGATAGAAATTTTTCCTTAGTGCCAACCCTTCCTCAACAGCACAGATGCACCAAAACTCCTCTGGGCACATTAGAAGAGATAAAACACCTACTAAATAACAGAAAAGCCTGAGAGAAAGGCAAACCCTCAGCAAATGGGATCTTATAAAACGACTTAAATGCCAAAATCCTGATGCACAGTCACAGCAGGCCTTAAGGATAAAGGTGCAAAGTTGGTTCCTTCCTCTGAGATCAATCACCTCCATCACTTGGGGTGTCAGCCCCGAAAACTCCTCCTTGTGCTGGACAATGGGATTTGTGAGAAAGCATCACAGAGGTCTGGGGAGACAGTGGCTGCTTAAAGCCTTAAATCTGCAAATCCCAACCTCACCAAAGCCAACAGCCACATTCTTGGCACGAAGAATCAGAGACACTTCAGGGGTTATAGGAGAGAGGATCTTACAGGCCATCACGACAGCTCTGGCCTGTGATTAGGCTGAATCCAGCTGATACAAACAACAGACAGAAGAGACAGATGGGAAGAGATTATACACATAACTAGTTATTTCTATTGATCTCTGCTTTGAGCTGCTACACCAGAAAATTGGTGCTGCAGCTTGCTGGGGGGCTGGTCAGGGGACAGCTGACTCATCCCAGCTCAGCCCCACGCAATCCCGACACTCGCCCCGTCCCAGCTGGCTGAGGCAGCAGAGACACCCCGGGCAGAGCAGATGGTGCATTCCCACCCAGCATCCAAAGATAAACCCAGCTCTTGCCGGGAACAGCATTACCTGCTTTGCTACCCCCGTGTTTCCAAGCCCAGCCAGCCTTCTCCAAAGGCAGGACCAGCCTGGCATCACTTTGCCATCGCCCCCATCCATCCCATCCCATCCCATCCCTGGCTCTCTGGGCTGCAGGAAAGCACTGGCTGTTTCCCAACACTGAGCTCAGAGACCCTGTTATCCACCCATCCCCCGAGGACGATGCCTCATGCACAGGTCTTCACCAAGGTGTGCACCTGCAGGAGCAGGTGACTGCACTACAAGAAGCTCAGCCGCTCCTTAGGTGTTTGTGAACCCGACCTGTTCCTCACTTGGGAATTATGCAGGACACCAGCCCAGCCCTGGTTGATGGAGGCAGCTTTCAGGGATGCCTGTGAGGCTGTTGACTCAGTTGTAGATGCTGTTTTCTCTCCCTACAGGCAGCTCCAGCAATGAAGTGGCAACAGCTTCATTCTTCACGTGCGCAACAGGTTTGCTCCTACAACAGTTCTGTGGTTGGCCTTGGGGTACACATGAACTCCACTCCAACAATCATCTTACTGTCACCTTGTTCTTCCAGGTGTGGCACTCCCAAAGTCCCCCTTCAGGATCCAGAGGTTGAATTCAAACCTTGTGTCTCCATTTTCCTGATTTAAGATTCACCCCGAAGCATCCGACAGCTCCAGGGGTGGAAAGCCCAACAAGCTGTCCTGAACGGCGAAGGGATTTGCAGCTGGCATTCAAGACTCCAAGATTCTGTGAGTTCCAAGACTTGGAATTCCCTGCAGGTGCAGCCATCCTTGCTTCAGAAGCTCAGAGAGGACATCCAAGGTGAAAGGAGCAGGGAGGATTGTCTAAGAGCTGCCAGTCACTCACACACCTTCTTAGCATAGTCCTCCGTGTCTCCCACCTCCACAGGCACAAGATGCCTGAATTTCCTGCAATCAGCATTTTCCTGGAGCTACTGAGGACCTGACAAGCTGTTGCTTCTTCTCAGTAGATATGCTGAGGGACATATCACCAGCTCAGAAAAAGAGTGACTTTGTTTCCTGAGATGTAGGGAAAAAATAGCACATGGGGCAGAAGAAAGGAAAGAAGGGCAAGTATTTTTTTTTTTAATCAAGGAATATGGGATGTTTGTATGAAGGAAAATCTCCACCAGTGAGGAGACCTCTCACCATAATGATATAGGATCTCATCTCTGGAGTCCACTCCCCCCAGAGATTAGTCAAATAAACCACGGTGGAGATGAAAAAAATACATTTTTCAAATGGATTTGGTGTGGGAACTGGGTTTCTTTGTGGGTTTGTTCTTTATTTATACTTTTAAAAAGAGAAATACAAACGTGGCAGCTGCAAGGCAGTTCATCTGGTAATACTGAAATGGGAATACCTCGTTCTTCTCAGCTTCCCAGAAGTTCCTATGCACTGGGACGGATGGTGCTCCATCCCTGTAACGCAGTAAAATTTACAAACAGAGATCATCATATCATTCGGTTCTTGTTGCTTCTGCTGGCTATCCCTGTGCCCCCCTCAGCACTTCGCTGGGTGGGTAAGGAGACATCCAGCTGCTGTCCAAGAGAACCTCGGGAAGAGGATTAAACTACAGAGTGCCTCTGATTACAAGGCACTTGACAGCGTGACCTCTAAAGACCTTTCCAAACCTCAGCTGGGCTCTCCTGCTCTTGCTGCAGTGAGATGGTGATAACGAGGTGAAGGGCTGGCAACACATCCCGCTGCTGAGTGCAGGAGGAGGGAAGGGCTGGCAAGGGCTCTGCCAGACCAGTGTGATCATCCTGACTCCCATCACACTCAATTCCTGCCTCAGCAGACAGGTTTGTCTGGACAAACCACAGGGTTTGGCACGGATGGATGCAGGGAAGCCACGGAGAGGAGCAGGTGTCCCTGTCCTTTCATCTCCCTCTCAGACTGCGGGTGTTAGACAAGATCCACTGTTAGGACTGTGCTGTTCCCACCAACAACGCTGATTTTTCTGGTCATGAGGGTGGGCTCAGCATTTCAGCAACAGCGTGGATCTATCCAAAAACCAGGATGTGAGCCAGGCATTTTGCTTGCTGCATCCCAAAAAAACGCTCTCCTGCAAGGCACAGCAGCCCCAAGCTGTGGTTCCCCCAGCCATGCCATGTTTCCAGAGCTGAGCTTCCCTGAGCTCCCCTCCACATTGACGGCTGTGCCAACACTTTTGTTTTTCCTCAAGGAGACTCGTATGGCTGAGAGCTTCTCCAGTCTGATTTTTCTAAACATAAGGGGAGCATTTGAACCTTGCAATCCACTTGAGGAGAAAAAAAAAGATGTTGTAGTCAGGGAGCTCGGAGAGGCGGCCCCACCTCCTCCAGCTATGTCTGAGCCGAGCCAAGGACAGAAGCCTGTGTTTTCCATGGCACCTGATGAAGAGGCTCTCGTGTTATTCTGCTTGATTTGGTCTTTACTTGCCTCAGGGCAGTTGCTGTCATTTTTCATCTCGAGCTTCTCCAGCCCATCTGCACTTCCCCAGGCCATGGTAGAGCAAGACATGGAACCCCATGCGTCCAAACTGCTTCTTGGTGACCTCTCTCTCTTTAAGATCC